CCCGCGCACCCCGTGCGGGCCCCTCGGATGGAGAGAGAGGCCTTGGCAGGGCCGGGAGGGGTGCAGAGGAGGGAGCTGGCGCGGTGGGGCGTCGGAGCCCAGGCCCGGGCTGGGTCCATTTTCAGCCGCGGAGCCAGTGCTCGCGCTGCTCCCGCTGCCGGGTTGTCTCTTTCTGTCCTGCCTCCCTCCTCCTCCTCCTTCCCGGGGGTGACTAAGCAGCCGTGAGAAGGAAGGGAAAGCGAGGCCTGTGGGCTGGGCCTTGGCTCCCCTCCAGGTCGGTAGAGGCGCCGGGTCCCAGGCCCGGCCGGTCTGGGTAGCAGGTCCCCTGGGGCTCGGCCAGAAGCGGGCGCCCTGCTTGCCTGCCTTCTTCCCCCTTCAGAGCCGCGGGGAGGGTCCGGGCTGCGCCAGGTGGTGGGATTGCTCGGGGTTAGGGAGAGCCAGGTTGCCGAGCCCTGGCTGCCGCCAGGAGCAGCCTGCTGGGCCTTGGTGCCGAGACCTGGTCCCTTCCCGTAGGGTGGTCACTTCCTTGCTGGAGAATTTGGCCGCAAATAGTTGCCAAGATAGCTGGGCCGGGAAGAAAGCGCCGTAGCCCTGACCCCGTCGCCGTCGCCGACCCCGGGGCGCTCTGGCTGTCGAGCAAGCGCCTCAAGATGTCTGGTGGGGCCAGTGCCATGGGCCCCAGGAGAGGGCCCCCCGGGCTGGAGGAGGCCGCCAGCAAGAAGCAGCTGAAGGACCGAGCAAACCAGGAGAGCAAGGATGGAGACCCTAGGAGAGGAGGTAACGCCCCCGCCCATGCCCGAGGCGCCGCCCTTCCTGTTGAGCATGCGTCCTGCCCCTTCTGTCCTTCCTGATGCCAAGCGGACGACTCCGGACGAGCTGGGGTCTGGGTCCTGGGCCGAGACCCTAACAGTGGTGCTGGGTGGGGTGGCAGGGCCTTGGGGGCTGCCTCTTCCTCATTTTTTCTTTTTTTAAATTTTTTTATTGTTTATGTTTTTCTCCTCCTCCTTTTCCTCTTTCTTTTGTCGTCAGGGTCCGTGTCCACTCCCCAGGAGGAGCAGACCAAAGAGGGTGAGTCACTGGCTGCCTTGGGTGCTAGAGCGCTGGGGGGGGGTGTGTGTGCAGCCCTCATCTGTCGACCCTCACAGTCTTTTGTTTTGTCTTTGTTTTAAATATGTTTTTACTCATTTTAGAGGGAGGAAAGGAGAGGGAGAGAGAGAGGGGAAACATCAGTGATGAGAGAATCATCGATGGCTGCCTCCTGCAGCCCCGTGCTGGGGATCCAGCCCGCAGTGCAGGCGTGTGCTGTGACCAGAACGAAACCACGACCTCCTGGTCCAGGGGTTGGCACTCAACCCCTGAGCCTGCCGCCGGCCGCAGGCTGACTGCCCTATCCCTGCAGAGGTGCTGCTCGACTGGCAGCAGGACGCGGACGAGGTGACGGTCAAGCTGCGCGCGGGAGCGGGCCCCCTGCGGCTGGAGGAGGTGGACGCTGCTTTCACAGACACAGACTGCTTGGTGCGGTTTCCAGGTGCGTCCGGGTCTGAGCCCGGGCCTGTGTGTGACCCCTGCCCGCCCCGCTCACCGCCGCGCTCTCTGCAGGTGGCCAGCAGTGGGGCGGTGTTTTCTATGCCGAGATCGAAAATTCTCGCGCCAAAGTGCAGGCTCGAAAAGGTGGCCTCCTCCAGCTGGCGCTGCCCAAGAAGGTGCCTCTGCTCACCTGGCCTTCTCTTCTGGTAAGTCCAGGGCAGGGCCGGGGGCCGGGGGCACCCAGGGTGCGGACAGGGCCTGACTGCTGTATCTTTGACAGAAGAAACCTCTAGGGATGCAGGAGTCGGGGCCAGGGCTGCGGTGCCAGGAGAACGGGCAGGAGTCCTCTCCCATTGCCCTGGAGCCAGCCCCTGAGCCCCGCCGGGCAAAGCAGGAGGCCCGGAACCAGAAGCGGGCCCAGGGCCGTGGTGAGGTGGGGGCGGGGGCTGGCCCCGGGGCCCAGGCAGGGCCCAGTGCCAAGAGGGCTGTGCATCTCCGAAGAGGGCCAGAGGGGGAAGGATGCAGAGAAGGCCCTGGGCCCCAGGGCGAGGCCCCCCCGTTCCTGGCTGAGGCAGCCACCCAGGTGAGCGTGGCGTGCCCTGTGGGCGTTGGGAGCTGGAGGAAGGGTGTGGACTGCGGTGGGAGGAGGGGCGCCTGCCTGGCCCCGGGCTGATCTTGCCCACAAACGCCATGCACAGGCGGGGGCTGAGGAGCCGCTCCGGGTCCCACCGCTGGAGCCCCAGCCCTGCCTCCTGGGCTCGGAGGAGAAGCCAGCGCTTCTGGCAGGAGAGAAGGCAGCGTCCCCCAGGAGTGACCCAGTCTCTCCAGCCCTCACCCGGAGCAGAGCCCCCGAGAAAGGTGACCGTTCCAGAGAGGAGATGGCAGTGGCAGCAGACGCTGCATCCTTGGTGGATGGTAAAGGTGGGGCTGGGGGGGCAGGCAGAGCCCTGGGGGGCTGCAAGGTTGGCGGGCAGGTAGGGATCGCACAGTGGCGGGTGGGCCGGTCTCGGGCGCTGAGCCGTGGTCTCGCTGTAGAGCCGGAACCCATGGTGAGCCTGGCGTTTGTCAAGAACGACTCGTACGAGAAGGGGCCTGACGCGGTGGTGGTGCACGTGTACGTGAAGGAGATCTGCAGGGAGGCCTCGCGAGTGCTTTTCCGCGAGCAGGACTTCACGCTCGTCTTCCAGACCAGGTGGGCGGGCGGCCGTGGGCAGACGGTGGGCCTCGGGCGGGACTGTGTCTCACGCTTTCCCCCGCGCTGGGCTCTGCAGGGACGCGAACTTCCTGAGGCTGCACCCGGGCTGCGGGCCCCACACCGTCTTCCGCTGGCAGGTGAAGCTCAGGTGGGTGGTGCCCGGCCCTGCCCTGTGCCGTCCCTCCCGGGGCTCCGTCTCCCGGCCCTGAGCTCACCCTCTCCCGCAGGAACCTGATCGAGCCCGAGCAGTGCACCTTCTGCTTCACGGCCGCGCGCATCGACATCTGCCTCCGGAAGCGGCAGAGTCAGCGCTGGGGGGGCCTGGAGGCCCCAGCTGCACGAGGTCTGCCCACGAGCTCCCTTCACTGCCCGCGCACACGGACCGCCCCTGCCACGTGCTGCTAACCACCAGCCCTCTCCTTCCCCCTTTTTAAGGTGCAGTGGGTGGTGCAAAGGTTGCCGTGCCGACAGGCCCAACCCCTCTGGACTCGACCCCCCCAGGGGGTGCTCCGCACCCCCTGACAGGCCAGGAGGAAGCCCGGGCTGTGGAGAAGGAGAAGCCCAAGGCTCGAGCTGAGGACGCAGGGCTGGATGGCGTGGCGGCCCGCACCCCCATGGAGCATGGAGCCCCCAAGCCAGAGCCACACTTGACCTCAGTGAGATCCTGGGTGGGAGGGCGAGGAGGGCGGCTGGGAGCCTCTAGGGCTGCTCTCATGCCCCACTGTGCTCCCCCAGCCCAAGCCCACGTGCATGGTGCCCCCCATGCCGCACAGCCCTGTGAGTGGGGACAGCGTGGAGGAGGAGGAGGAGGAGGAGAAGAAGGTGTGCCTGCCGGGCTTCACCGGGCTGGTCAACCTGGGCAACACCTGCTTCATGAACAGCGTCATCCAGTCTCTGTCCAACACCCGCGAGCTGCGGGACTTCTTCCACGGTGAGGGCAGGCCCGGCCCCCGCGGACCTGGCTTCCCCTTCCCTGGC